AACAATAAGCAGGCTGCAACTCAAACGTCGTTTACATAACCGACCTCCGCCTATTATTCTGGCAACGCGTTACCGCTCCTCTCTGATAAGCGTACGCGTGGCGTTGTGAAGAACTCCGACAGGGTTTTTTGAACAACTCTCAATCTTGCACTGCTATATTGTATAGTCGTAAAGCAACTGACAAAACATTCAAAAGAGCTTTTCATGCTCTTTCAAACGATATGTTAAATGCACAAGATTTCTTTTCAAGTTCAGAAAAAAAACGAAAAAACCTGAAAGATTCATGGCGCAATAAAAAACCAAAAAAATCATTTTGCCCTATATGTTCCAAAAATAGATTAAATCTGAGGAAAGCTGCATACGGATGGATAGAGCGCAAAAAGCTCTATCAGATGGTATTTGGAAAACATGCGTTCACCTGCAAAGAATTGAATAGCGCGTGTCTTTGTCCTCAAATCTGCTAATGGCCATATCTCCTGACTTTGGAAGTTGAGGCCACCAAGCCATCGTGGGTTCGGTGACTCTCCCACCACCTACTCCAGCAATGGTACTCTGCATGGTCTCACATGTTTCACTGCGCAGATACTGCTCAAAGTTCATAATTTGTCGAAGTGATTAACTTTGCATTTCAGCAAGTATAAAAATTATTGATCATGTAAATGAATTTATATAGGTATTGTCTGAAAGAGAATAACATATTCTAATATCTATCAAAATTAGAAATTCTAATCGCTTTTCTTTCTTGAGAAACCTCCAGTTATTTCGTAAGTGTCCCATTTTTTACCGTTCACCCTAATACAAAGCCAGGAAGAAAAAGAATCAATCGAGAAACGTGGTGGTGGAACGATGAAGTACAAACGGTAATAAAGGACAAGAGGGATGCGTACAGGCGATGGCATCAGTCAAAATCGGAGGCCGATCGTCAGACATACCAAGAAACCAAGCACGCTGCGAAAGCCTCCGTAAAGAAGGCAAAACAGGTGTACATGAAACAGCTCTACGAGAGACTGAAGTCCCGCGAGGGAGAACGAGATATATACCGAATAGCCAGAAGAAGGGCAGAGTCCACAAAGGACATGGATCACTTCCTCCACATCAAAGACAAACTTGGTAGGACGCTAAGAACACCGGCGGACATCACTGAAAGATGGAGAACCTACTTCGAAGAGATGACCAACACAAGCCGCAGCGTCAACTCCATCCCAAGAGCTGATCCCGTAGATGGACCAGTACCACCAGTTACGAAAGAGGAGGTATGGCTAGCTATAATAAAAACGAAGAATGGCAAGGCGATTGGTCCAGATGACATACCAAGCGAATTCTGGAAAGTATGTGGACAATCCGGGGCCTCCTGGCTATCAGACCTCCTCAATCAGATCATAAGAAGTAAGAGTCTGCCTCGTGATTGGTACACTAGCACAACGATTCCGGGTGTATGTCAAGAGGCGCGATTTTTATTGCCAGCCGGACATCAAATTGCACATTTTAAATGTTTAATAACGTTCTAGGGGCCTTTCAAATTTCTATGAAGTTATGAAGATTGTTGCATGAGTTGTCTGATCTTATCATCCTGAAAAGATCCAAAACAGAAACACTGGAGGTCAAAAACCCATGAAAATGCAAATAATGGCAATTTCGTCAATATTTCGCTCATTTTTGCAGCAAAAGCCGTGAAAGTCAGTAAATGGTAACTTCGAACAGCTAGTAAGCTAAACGACTTTCTCTGGAATGTTTTAAAAATTTGTGTAGTGCAGAAATGGGCTTTTGAGTTGGTGACAGCCAAAGAAATCACGCCTCTTGACCGTCTCCCAACGAGGGTAACTTGGTAACGATGGTAACTTCGAACAGCTAGTAAGCTAAACGACTTTCTCTGGAATGTTTTAAAAATTTGTGTAGTGCAGAAATGGGCTTTTAAGTTGGTGACAGCCAAAGAAATCACGCCTCTTGACCGTCTCCCAACGATTCCGATATGGAATAACAAAGGGGACGTCGCAGACTGTGCATCCTACCGGCCAATCCGACTGATGAGCCACACTCTAAAGATCTTCGAGCGGATAATCGAAACGCGGCTTCGTGATATCATAGAGCTGTCACCAAATCAGTGCGGATTTGTGAAAGGAGTAGGCACAACTGACGCCATCCACTCCGCTCGGATAATGATGGAGAAATATAGAGAGAAGCAAAAGGAGTTACACGCAGCCTTCCTGGACTTGGAAAAAGCCTTCGATAAAGTGCCCCATGAAGTCATATGGTGGGCCTTACGGAAGCACATGGTTCCAGAAGAGTACGTCCAGTGGATACAGTTGATCTATCACAACGCTTCAAGTCACGTGCAAACAGCTGCAGGGCAATCGAAAGAGTTCCAAATCAAGGTTGGAGTACATCGAGGATCAGTTCTCTCTCCCTTGCTCTTCATCACTGTAATGAACGCCATAATGCAACCACTCAGACGTGCACCTCCTTGGACACTTCTCTACGCAGATGATGTGGTCTTGCTAGGAAGCACCAGGAAGGAGTTGCAAGACGAGGTACAGAAATGGAAAGACAGGTTAGAGTTGTATGGGCTGAAGCTCAACACCAAGAAGAAGAGTATATGGAAGTGGGGAAACAGACTCCAGGAACCGTATGTATCGATGGTGAAGAGCTAAAGAAGGCAACGTCATTCAAGTACCTAGGCAGTCACATCTCAGCAGAGGGAGGCTTGCAAGTGGAAATCGCAGGCAGGATAAACACAGCGTGGATGAAATGGAGTGCCTTAACGGGAGTCCTCTGCGACAGACGAATGCCAGTACAGCTCAAATCCCAACTGTACCGGACCGTCATCCGACCAGCGGCCCTCTATGGTAGTGAGTGCTGGCCATGTACGCGAAATGAGAAGCGCAAGCTCGGTATCATGGAAACAAGGATGCTACGATGGACCTTAGGTGTCACACTGAAAGACCACATCTGCAATGACACTATACGAGCCCGAATGAAAGTAGCCCCAATTGCCCAGAAAATGCAGGAAAAGAGACTACGATGGTACGGCCATGTATGCAGAAGGGAGGAAAGCCACATTACGAGGCTAGCCCTGGCGGTGGAAGCACCAGGCAAGAGACCTAGAGGTAGACCCAAGATGAGGTGGATGGATAGGATCAAGGCCGACTTGCGAGAACTTGGAATAGATGAAGACCTTGCCTCAAATAGACATGGAGACATTTGACAAGGAAAGCAGACCCTGCATAAGGGGGACCCATGCGAGGATAAAAAAAAATTGAAATGGCATTTGAGAATTTTTAGAAATAAAGTAGCTTTGTAAAAATTTTTTATCGGAACGTGGCTGTCTTCATTCCAAAAACTTTTTATCCACCCTCCCCCGGAAGAAACTTGGGTATGCCACTGATTTATTGTGTGTATATTTCCGCTTTATCATATACAGCAATATATTGGGTCGGTTCGAAAGTTTGTGCCGTTTTTTGGACCCATGCTCAAATTACTCAGAATAACGATGACAGACAGATGCTCTTAACAGCGTTCAATGCAGAAATTCTTCCTCTTTCTAGCAGTGATGTTTTTGCCTAGAGACCTCTCACGTCCGCTCGAGTAATCGTCGGAATCTCCAACCCATTGTTTTTACCCACCCTGAGTTTGGCTATTTTTTTAATTTCCGTCTTCAACTTTTGGATTAGCTGTGATAACAGTTGGATAGAATAAACAAAATGCAATGCGAAGAATTTTTTTAGCATTTCGAGCAGGCTTTTCAAAACTGCAAAAAGTTTTTTTTCAGTGCTATCAAATTCTATATCTGGGAATCCCAATCACATAGAACCACATAGCGAGCAATCAGGGTGTCATCGATACAGCTTTTTCTATTCTTTCGGATAAATTTGTTTTTTGCTTTGAGATGTGTCCCAGGCTGTTCCTGAATGATTCCGCAGTGCTTGCTATTAACGTTAAGCCATAAGCTGTTTTTGGAAGCCTCATCCAAAGATTTATTAGTGTTTGAAGCGGCCGAGCATTTCACGATTTCGTAAAAATAAAGGCTTTCGAAAAAATCATTTCAAGAAATACAGGAAAGCTAATTGTGGAAAATAAAATAGTTTATTGTATTGCATTTTGATATTCTATCCAGCTGTTATCAAAGAATAGTCCAAAAGTTGAAAATGAAAATTCCAGAAAGGGTTCAACTCAAGATGGGTAAAAACCATGGGTTGAATATTTTGATGATTATTTGAGCTCAAAGTTTGTTCAAAAACAATACTGCTAGAAAGAGGAAGAATTTCTGCATTGAACAGCGTTTAGAGCGTTTGTCTATCGTTATCCTAACAAGGGAACGATACTTGGTGAACGTGGCCTTTAGCAATGAGATGTATACCAGTAGATGCGCCAAGAAACGCTGATTTTAGATATATGTTCACGAGCAGACATTCCGGGGTTTCACTCCGGTTTGAAGCCAGTCTATCAGTCTAAACTCCCCATCCTGCACACCCTGCACACCCTGCACACCCTGCACACCCTGCACACCCTGCACACCGTGAACTACTGGGAATGTGCACAAACACACAAACTCACAGATTTTCTGCTTTATATAAAGGGTGCGGAAAAAGTACTGTCCCATCAACTTGTCTCCTGAAATACCTCAAGCATAAAGCAAATCTGTAGTTGATTCCCATACGTAGGCGAGATCCTTGAGATTAAATAAAGACAAGTTTGATTTGAAACTGTTCCCTTCTGTCCGTCTGAACGAGTGATAACAGCGCGCAAGAACATTAGCGAAGCGCCGAAAACATACAAGCGCGATTTTGGACCGTAACTATAACACCAGCATTGATATAAAGTTCAAATTGAGCTGTTATGTAGTGCATGACCCCTTCTCCAATATTCTATCCCCATTGTAGATGAAATATAGATTAGTGACTCTTGTTTGGCCAAATAAGGAAGATTATACCACACGCAAGTTACAAAAATTCTCGAAGAAGAGGCTTTTCAGGACTGCGCTTGCTCAGAATTAGACTCAAACTATGATTCGAAATTCGGAGGGTGGGTGGGAAATGATAACCGACACGATTTGCAAAAAAGGAAGGACATACAAAAGGTAATCATGATGCGAAGTGCCAACAAGCTTAGTATAGCTAAACTTTCCAGATGCGACAGCCGGAGCAGAGCGGAAGCGATTTTTACCCGTCTGACATCGACTCAGACAATCACAGGCTCTCAGCCGGCGGCGATAAAGAGCAGTTTTACTGAGCGGGCGGCGATACTGCAAAAGTGGCAGTGAGCGGGCGACGACATTGTAGGAATGGCGGTGAGCGGGCAGCGACGGGCTACCAGCGGGCAGCTATAATCTTCCATGAGTCAGAAAAAAGCTGCAGAGCGCATTCATTCCTACAAAAGCAGCCAAAAGGCGACGATGAGGCAGCGACTCCGTTAAGCTGGCAGCGACCGTGAAACGATGGGGCTGCGAATACAAGATTTCTGTCAGCGGGCCGCATCAATGCTATGAGCAGGCAGCCTTAATTCATAACGCCGTTTGGTGGCTGCCAACTGGATGCCATATCGTTGCCCGCTCGAGACATTGTTGATCGCACCAGAAAAGTTAGATGTGCAGGCAAACGAGATTGGCAGCGTGGGCTCGCGTCATTTTTTCATTTCTTGTTGCCTAATCTTTGTTTTCATCTTTGCTTTTCTTTGTTTTCATTTTCGTTATCATTCAGTGCTTTATTTCAAGTACTAGTGAACCAGTACCTATAGGCCCCGGTCAGACTTCACGCGTCTTAATCGTCGCGACCAAATCGCCAAGATTTCCATTCATTTTCATTTCACATTCAAAAATTTCGGTCTGGAAAAGTATCACAACCGAATGCAAGTTGATCTGCATGGAATGATGTTGTAACAGTTGTCTCCTCGCGATTCAGTCGCGACGATCAAATCGCGTGAACTCTGCCACGGGAAATAGGCGCTATTTGGAAGAGCGTTTGCTTCGGGACTCGTCGTGGTTCCCCGCTATTTGAAGATTTTTGAATTGACTAACGATTCTTTATATATCAGATTTCTTTTGTTCTCTATGTTTGACTGTCTATCCAACCGGAAGAAATGCTTGAAAGCCCCTTTTGTTTTTGAATCAAAACATCCACTGCACAATGTAATAAAAACTCTTTTTCAAACTCTCTCGAAAACCGTAAAAAACCATCTATTCACTCATTTTACGAATGTATAGTCGTCCTCACCCCACTAGTCGGTCGGTGGTCGAATTTGAATTCGAACTGGAGCAGGCTGACCGCGGCAGAGCGCGGCAGACGCCCCTCAGCCAACCGCTTGCACAAGCTTTTTTCTTATTTTCTTCGTGTTTTTTTTGCCATCTTTCGTACTATGGTAATGTTCTTAATCAGACTTTCAGATTTCGTACCGCTAACTTTTGAAACAAACACTTTTTGAGAAAATTTCAGCCATATCGCAAAAAAAAAGCAGTCTAGAATAATATTCTAACAACTTGACACATTCCATCGAACCGCATTTGTGTGTATGTCGCTTACCAGAAAAAAGAGATTTTTTATCCAAAAATCTCCAATCGCATCCTTCTTGCCGCTTTGCATGGAAAAAAATGTAAAACAAACGAGCACAACTGCACAAAACAATAGTTAGCGGTGCAAAATCTAAAAATCTGATGAAGAACATTGCCGCAATACGAAACATAGCAAAGAAAACACGAAGAAAATAGGAGAAAGGCTGTGCAAGCAGTTTGCTGAGGCGCGGTCTGCCGCGCTTTGCCGCGGCCGGTCTGCTCCAGTTCGAATTCAAACTCGACCACCGACCGGCTAGTGGGGTGAGGACGACTATAAACATAAAAGTGCCTTTCTCTCAACATTTTCGCCGCTGTCACATCATTCGACTACAAGCGTGCTCTCTTTGCGCTCAAAAATCTGCATCATTGCGTTTAGCATGCGTCCATTTTCGAAATGCTTATTGATTAGAGGGCGTCGCTATGCTTTGCTCCTTCAGTCCTGTGTTTATAATTTTTTCGAGAAAAAACTCTCAGCCTCAGCGGATTACACGCGAAAACATGACCTTTTACGCAACGAACGACCATCACGGCTCACTCCACGCCAGCGTGTTGTACGCGAAGTTCATTGAGTGAGGAAGGATTGATTTGAGGTTTAGTCTGAGTGCCACACACAGCGTAAGTTGTTTTCGTCGCACGTGTTTCTACCGATCGGCCTTTTCAAAAAGTTAAATTCTCATTTCGAAGCCAAGTGCATTCATCGAAACACAGTGCGCACCTTTTCAATGATGTACCGTCGGTTCATTTCATATGATCATGTGTGCCATTGCACACACCGTCCATCTTTGGCGTACCCATCCTGGATTCTTGGAGGACGCAACCCTTCCGTTAAGCGATTCTGATGTTTTCTCGCTGTTTTCTTTTCTTTTTAGGTACTATTTATCTCTAAATGATGTAAGCGATAGCAATTGCTCACTCTCTCGCGTTTTTGCGATCGCAAATCCGAGATGGGGACGCCAAAGATGGACAGTGTGTGCGGGTGCACATATGATCATATGAAATGAATCGACTGTACTTGTACAGTGAGCACATAAAAGGTTTACAGTTTTACGGAAAATTGTTTGGCACGCAGTCGTTCGTCAACGCAGCTATCGTCGATTCGTTGACCGTACGGACTGCTGAAGCGCTGTGGACCACATGCGGCGCGGTTAACATGTTGCGAGAGCACGAACAATGGCGATCTTGTATTGGAGCAAGCGTTTTACCTAGCGGCGCGTGCTCCGCGGTTATGTCCACTCAGACAATCACGGGCTCTCAGCCGGCGGCCACAAAGCCACCGCGAAAACCCACCAAAAGCGCGGTGGCCTCATCGCGCCCACTTTCGCTTCCCGCTGAAGCCCTCATAGCAGTCCGTCCGCTGTCAGCTTTAGCCTCCCGCTCATTGCCATATTTGTAGCCCGCTCGCTTCTACAGTTTTCAGCGGGAAGCGGCAGTGAGGCGATAAGGCCACGGCGCTTTTGGTGGGTTTTCGCGGTGGCTTTGTGGCTGCCGGCTGAAAATCTTGTCTGTGTAGCTTCTTGTTATGCTTGGACTACAACGTTTTTAACTTCAATTAATTCATTATAACGATGACAAGTAACAATGAAGAACATAACCATCTGGAGATATGACCACATGGAGAAATAGATATGGCCCCAGATGGTTATGTTCTTCATTGTTACTTGCCATCTTTATAATGAATTAATTGAAGTTACAACGTTGTAGTCCAAGCATAACAAGAAGCTACACAGACAAGATTTTCAGCCGGCAGCCACAAAGCCACCGCGAAAACCCACCAAAAGCTCCGTGCCTTATCGCCTCACTGCCGCTTCCCGCTTTCTTCAAAGATAGGTGTCGGTAGCCCAAAAGCTCAAAGGTTAGCTTAGATTAGCTTAGATTTACGTTCTTTAGAACAGAAAATATGCTGATAATAGACCTTGAGGGTACAAACATTGATAAAACGATCCATATGGGGAGCGGCGACAAAGCAATACACATTCCACCGCGATAAATATATTCACAAACATGAGTGAGGAACTGCCAGTGTTAGCGCGCAATGCAGGGGTTTCTCATGCGAATCAACAATCCATTCGCGCCTGAGTATCGTTCAGCAACTGTCAGTTCTGATCCAAACCCATTTTCCTTATGTTGTGCAACACTTCCTCTGGAATTGTGTGCGTCTTCGTCGGTGACTGCAGCGTCTCGCGTTGATTCGTGACCATGTTCAGTTGCTCCTAAAGGATGAAATTAGAAGAGAACATTACGGAGATAAGGTCACGTTTCAGCATCTTAGCAGCTTGTTTGTACAAGAGATAGACTCTTGTTCAACAGTAAACAATGATCTCTACCCAGCTAAAAGGACTTGGCTCGTCACGACGCCTTCGAAGCAATTACCGAATCATGAGCTCATCGCACCTGCCGAACTCAATCAATGCATATACTAAGCCTACGCTTTGTTGCATTTCACCAAGGAGGAAGTAACTTCATGAAAGATGCTTCATACATGACAAATGCTGAATGCGTCTAAGAGAAGCTGTAATTGACTACGATTACAAACATCATGAAATGCCTGCAAAAGAGAGAGTAGTTGGAAATGTATAGATATACATCAAAGACAGACATTAGACAGAGAGAAACGCAAGACAAATATGGTACAGCAATTAGTGGAAGTATGAAAAGCCCTAATTTCATTTCTAGGAGGTAGGGAGACTTTATCAAGCCTTGACGATAAAAAGAGACAGAAACTACTCAGACAATCGCCGGGGGCAGGCGGACACCGGAAAAAAAGATCGCTGATCTCTCGCACCCCGCTCGCGGATTTTTTGGAAAGCAATCAGGACTTTTCGGAAGACCGCTTGCTGAGTCAGCGGATTTTTGAGAGACCGCCTGTTGAATTTTTTTCGCTCTTATCTTTTGCAGATATATTGCTGAATCTCTGAGGAATCGAGAACTCAGCAAGCGACCTTCCGAAAAGTCCTGATTGCTTTCCAAAAAATCCGCGAGCGGGGTGCGAGAGATCAGCAATCTATTTTTCCGGTGCCCGCCTGCCCCCGGCGATTGTCTGAGTAGTTCCACATCACAGCTGTAAATAACTATCGTCGATTCGTTGACTGCGCGGACTGGACATAACCGCGGAGCACGCGCCGCGAGGTAAAACGCTTGCTCCAATACAAGATCGCCATTGCTCGTGCTCTCGCAACATGTTAACCGCGCCGCATGTGGTCCGCAGCGCTTCAGCAGTCCGTACGGTCAACGAATCGTTGACGAACGACTGCGTGCCAAACAATTTTCCGTAAAACTGTAAACCTTTTATGTGCTCACTGTACAAGTACAGTCGATTCATTTCATATGATCATGTGTGCACCCGCACACACCGTACATCTTTGGCGTCCCCATCTCGGATTTGCGATCGCAAAAACGCGAGAGAGTGACCAATTGCTATCGCTTACATCATTTAGAGATAAATAGTACCTAAAAAGAAAAGAAAACAGCGAGAAAACATCAGAATCGCTTAACGGAAGGGCTGCGTCCTCCAAGAATCCAGGATGGTTACGCCAAAGATGGACGGTGTGTGCAATGGCACACATGATCATATGAAATGAACCGACTGTACATCACTGAAAAGGTGCGCACTGTGTTTCGATGAATGCACTTGGCTTCGAAATGAGAATTTTACTTTTTGAAAAGGCCGATCGGTAGAGATGCAGGACTCAAAAGCTTGAATTGAAAAATGCCATATTTTGACTTCGAAATTGTGAAAAACAGAATTGGTAAACGAAAGGAAAAAAGAAAAAAAGTAAAAGTTACTCTCAACATAAAAGGAACTATGAAACACGTGCGACGAAAACAACTTACGCTGTGTGTGGCACTCAGACTAAACCTCAAACCAATCCTTCCTCACTCAATGAACTTTGCGTACAACACGCTGGCGTGGAGTGAGCCGTGATGGTCGTTCGTTGCGTAAAAGGTCATGTTTTCGCGTGTAATCCGCTGAGGCTGAGAGTTTTTTCTCGAAAAAATTATAAACACAGGACTGAAGGAGCAAAGCATAGCGACGCCCTCTAATCAATAAGCATTTCGAAAATGGACGCATGCTAAACGCAATGATGCAGATCTTTGAGCGCAAAGAGAGCACGCTTGTAGTCGAATGATGTGGCAGCGGAAAATGTTGAGAGAAAGGCACTTTTATGTTTACATTCGTAAAATGAGTGAATAGATGGTTTTTTACGGTTTTCGAGCAGTGCCTAAAGAAGAAATATGTACAGACGGGGGTTGCGAATGTATGTAATCGCACAATGAGCGATTTTTCTGGAAGAGTTGAGCGAAAAAGTAGGATTTTGGCGGTTCATGTCCCTGCGGTGTCAGCAATATGCTCGTGTGAAATGGCCATGGAGCATATCTTCAAATTTTGTGCCCAATTTCATTTGCTCACGGTGTTGTTGGCAGCACAGGGGCACTTTATGAATGCCAGTCTACAGATTTCTGCACACTTGTAGTTCCCCTCGAAGTACATGCCCAAGGATTTGAGCACTGTTGAATAGTGGACGAGTTCTTAATGAATCATCACTTATGTATAGCATTTTTTCTGTGCAAGTTAAAAACCCACTAATTATGTCCTTTTTCGCGCGCTTTTTTGCAGTACATCGAAAAAGAGTTTTTATTACATTTTGCAGTGGATGTTTTGATTCAAAAACAAACGGGGCTTTCATCAAGCACTTCTTCCGGTTGGATAGACAGTCAAACATAGAGAACAAAAGAAATCTAATATATAAAGAATCGCTAGCTCAATTCAAAAAGCGGGGAACCACGACGGGTCCCGAAGCAAACGCTCTTCCAAATAGCGCCTATAGGTACTGGTTCACTAGTACTTGAAATAAAGCACTGAATGATAACGAAAATGAAAACAAAGAAAAGCAAAGATGAAAACAAAGATTACGCAACAAGAAATGAAAAAAGACGCGAGCCCACGCTGCCAATCTCATTTGCCTGTACATCTAACTTTTCTGGTGCGATCAACAATGTCTCGAGCGGGCAACGATACGGCTTCCATTTGGCAGCCACAATACGGCATTATGAATTAAGGCTGCCTGCTCATAGCATTGATGCGGCCCGCTGACAGAAATCTTGTATTCGCAGCCCCATCGTTTCACGGTCGCTGCCAGCTTAACGGAGTCGCTGCCTCATCGTCGCCTTTTGGCTGCTTTTGTAGGAATGAATGCGCTCTGCAGCTATTTTCTGACTCATGGAAGATTATAGCTGCCCGCTGGTAGCCCGTCGCTGCCCGCTCACCGCCATTCCTACAATGTCGTCGCCCGCTCACTGCCACTTTTGCAGTATCGCCGCCCGCTCAGTGAAACTGCCCTTTATCGCCGCCGGCTGAGAGCCTGTGATTGTCTGAGCAGTCCGCGCAGTCAACGAATCGACGATAGTTATTTACAGCTGTGATGTGGAACTAGTTTCTGTCTCTTTTTATCGTCAAGGCTTGATAAAGACTCCCTACCTCCTAGAAATGAAATTAGGGCTTTTCATACTTCCACTAATTGCTGTACCATATTTGTCTTGCGTTTCTCTTTGTCTAATGTCTGTCTTTGATGTATATCTATATATTTCCAACTACTCTCTCTTTTGCAGGCATTTCATGATGTTTGTAATCGTAGTCAATTACAGCTTCTCTTAGACGCTGCAGTCACCGACGAAGACGCACACAATTCCAGAGGAAGTGTTGCACAACATAAGGAAAATGGGTTTGGATCAGAACTGACAGTTGCCTGAACGATACTCAGGCGCGAATGGATTGTTGATTCGCATGAGAAACCCCTGCATTGCGCGCTAACACTGGCAGTTCCTCACTCATGTTTGTGAATATATTTATCGCGGTGGAATGTGTATTGCTTTGTCGCCGCTCCCCATATGGATTCGTTTTATCAATGTTTGTACCCTCAAGGTCTATTATCAGCATATTTTCTGTTCTAAAGAACGTAAATCTATGCGTGTGTATCACTGCGTACTTGCGTACTCATCCATTTAACTGTTACTTGCCATTTCATTAGTTATAACCGTTATCCAGAGTTTACAAACGTGGCCGTACATAGTCGTAGTATACGATCTAAGCTAACCTCTAAGCTTTTGGGCTACGGACACTTCCTATCTTTTAGGAAAGCGGGAAGCGGCAGTGAGGCGATAAGGCACGGAGCTTTTGGTGGGTTTTCGCGGTGGCTTTGTGGCTGCCGGCTGAAAATCTTGTTTGTGTAGCTTCTTGTTATGCTTGGACTACAACGTTGTAACTTCAATTAATTCATTATAACGATGGCAAGTAACAATGAAGAACATAACCATTTGGGGCCATATCTATTTCTCCATGTGGTCATATCTCCAGATGGTTATGTTCTTCATTGTTACTTGTCATCGTTATAATGAATTAATTGAAGTTACAACGTTGTAGTCCAAGCATAACAAGAAGCTACACAGACAAGATTTTCAGTCGGCAGCCACAAAGCCACCGCGAAAACCCACCAAAAGCGCCGTGGCCTTATCGCCTCACTGCCGCTTCCCGCTGAGAACTGTAGAAGCGAGCGGGCTACAAATATGGCAATGAGCGGGAGGCTAAAGCTGGCAGCGGGCGGACTGCTATGAGGGCTTCAGCGGGAAGCGAAAGTGGCCGCGATGAGGCCACCGCGCTTTTGGTGGGTTTCCGCGGTGGCTTTGTGGCCGCCGGCTGAGAGCCTGTGATTGTCTGAGGAGGGATCGGAAGGACGGAGGGTTGGAGGGAGGGATAGTGCAGGCAGAAGGGATGAGGAGGAAGACTGGGAGGGAGGGAATTCCTTTTCTCCGGAGGTTATAGCCGACGCTGAACTCAGGGCTATCCGACTCAAGCGGGTACAAGAGCAACTCATTGACGTATGTATTAGCATCCGTTAGATTATCACTATAGATTTTATTCTAGTTTGATTCCGATGTGTCGTCAATTTCGCCCCCGAAACGTCGCAAATATACGGATAGGGAAGTTAATAAGTTTCAAATGGAGGTTCTAAAAGTGGGTTTGTTTTGAACATGAAGGTTGCAAAAGATTTTTCATTTTAGGAAGAAAAGGCACTAGTAGCCAAAAAATCACTTCTTTCGGATAGGCAATTAGAACTGCTTGGCGAAATCAAAGAAATGATTGGTGACTACAAATCTTACGCGGAAAAAGGGAAGTGAAGAAACCAACAAAGCAAATAGAGCTTTGGAATCCCTGTGATGGGGATCCCAACGTAGCTGAATGCGTAGAATCTACAGATCTTCAAGTATCACACGTTTACTTTTGCTGTTCGTTATTGTTGTCATTTTTTTTTCTGATAAAGATACTGAGTAGAAAATTATGAGTTTTCAACAGTTGCAATAGTTTAACATGCATAAAATACCTTTTATAACAGCAACAAAAATTAAAAAAACATACAGAACACACTAACAAAAAACTATTAGGTTGTCCGGAAATTAATGTCCGTTTTTCTAGGCCTAGATTCCAAACAACTTTTTTTTGTCAAACTTTCTATCACGATATAGAATCTGCACATCATTGGAAAGCTTTCTCCATGTACTTTCTAACGGTGGTGGAAATAAGCTGCTATCCTCATCTGTGAGAATTTCACCAGCATTTTGCACATCCGCACTCAAAATCGAAATTTCATAGCTTTCAGTTTCTTGACCACAATTCAGGAGCGAATAAACGAATTCTTCTGAAAACATAGCAACTTTATTAGATGAAGATTATTTACCTATTGCATGCTCATCTAGATTTTTGGAGATAACTGGACTGAGAAATTGACGCCTTGAAATAGATACTTATTGCTGGCATTATATGGGTCAGAAATTTCTCATAATCAAGGCAATCGCCAAAGCTTTGCCCAGTTTTGTAAGCTTGAGATAAGCACACCTTAACTACAATATCTGAAGAGAAACTTAGCTATTCTATGCACGAAGAATTCCAAATTTTCATAATTTGGCACTCACAAGCCTACAAGAAATAGGCTCAAAAAGTGAACATTTTTGAATTTTTATCTTTTCTTTTCGCACAACTCCTTCTTTGGAGTCTTTTCTGTACATACGTAAACAAGTGGCCTGCGGCTACAAAATAAGCTGACCGCAGCCATACGAACAAAACCTGAAGGGAGTTGTAAGCTCTCAAAGAAGAGGTTTCCAAAAGAAAAACTTCCACTTTTTTGACGCATGGTTTTCTTCCCGTTTGCGATATCAGTGCGAGCAGGGGCGCGCTAAATTACGAAAGGTTTGCTGTTTCTGATGGTCTTGACTGCATTTGAAAATATGAAGACTGAACGAAGTTATAGCCTTCCAAAGTGAAAATTTGCAAAACGGACATTAATTTCCGGACAACCTAATACATACAACTGACGAGATAGGCACGAATGTCCGCGCAGTCTTCTGGCGGATGACGGAGAACTGAGAGCCTGCGCCCAAGTCTCCTCGGACGCAGACATCCCATAGCCATCATCATGTTGTGAAGAACTGCGCAAGCTATGATGATTTGAGCTGCACGCTCGGGAGCCACACGGATCGTATCCTTCAGGATAGCGAACTTCCGCTTCCAGATACTGCAGGTGAAGGTGCACTCGACGATGACTCGCATCTTCGAGTGCCATCGGTTGTAGGAGATCTCCTGCCTGGATGTCGGATTTCTAATGGGTGTAATAACATCATTCCCATTAGCGAATCCGGAATCTCCAAGGAAGCTGTAGCCATGCGGAACTGCATCTTCTTCGTAGGCATATTTGACCTGCGAAGCGGCGAAGACGCTGGCATCGTGGACAGACCCTGGAAAGTTCGCATTTATGTACGTAAACCGTCCGTGGGCGTCGACAGCAGTCAGCACATTCAGGGCTGTAAAGCCCTTGCGGCAGTAGTACTGCTAGCCAGAATGTGCCGGCTTCTGTATCCGTATGCAGCTGCCGTCGACGGCGCCGATGATGTTCGGGAAAGGCCCTGTTCGGGCGAAGGCGGCGGCGCTCGTACGACAAAACTCCTCATCCCCTAATCGGCAGCGGATGAAGTGCCGCACGATTAGGGGGTTGTTCAGTGCTTTGACGACTGCTCGCACCGCACTGGAGACCGTCTTCTGGCTGACACCGATGGTGTCAGCCAGAACTTCCTGGTGGGCGTTAGTCGCCAGGTACCGCAATGCGATCACCACCTAAATAAGTCAGATTATGTGCTCGCATAATTACGAGTATTGGCCTTATGGCGTGATGCAGTGAAGATTTCCTGAAAAAAGGAAATTTTTCACTAGCATTAGATGGTAAATCAGTATAAAAATGATCAAGCATGCAAGTGTTCCTATTTCTTTTTTCAGAAAAACTTAACAAAATATGTTCTGAGCGCTTTTTTTAGAGGAAAGTTGTCAAATAGGGAGGGATATTAAGTCGCTGCGGCGATCTGGAATGAAATACATATCACTAGATGCGTCTTGATGATAGAGTGGAAGCGAAATCTAGCATTCCTATCTGCTGAGCGGTCTCTTTATTCCGAAAATTGCACGCCACTGCTTCAGAAATCGGTTGGTCAAAGAACATTGGTTTTCAGTGTACACACTTCTCAGTCAATTCATACACTTGACTTTTGACTTTTGCATTTAAATTCTTTCCGAGAATCGTTCAGGAGATATGGAAGGTTGATTTGCGATCAGCTCATCAGGAGCGCATCTGATAATGTGCGTGACAATGCAGTTCGGCACTGCGTTTTTTTTGGGATCCTCTTGTATTGACCAGTTTTAGGTGTTAGTAACGAAAGAGTATTCTTAAAAGATCAGAATTAATAGCGACAGGGAGAAGCGGAAGCGATGAGCATGCAAGCAATTTGTTTGAATGCCTTTTTAGCTGAGAGTGCTTTGCCCCTATTCGCTATCTTTTTTACGCAATCATTTAACAAAATGCAGTGTGAGTGACTTACAAATAAGAACTGATTATAAGCACATTCCGATGATTAGTCGATTGTTGTTTCGATTTGGAAATTCTAAACTTAGAGGAAGGTAGGCGTTGCATGCAAGGTCTTCCAAAAAACTTGGAGGTCTGTCGTTACTGAATCTTGAGGAGATGGCAGAAACCGAAAGTATGAATTAATCCAATAAAGAGTGGCTGAGAGTGTTGTCTTCGAAAAGTCTTAGATCCAAAGTGTTAGGAGTGCACTAACGAATTTTGTGAGAAGCTTTGCTATATTCATGTTGGCAACTAAGTTTTGCAGCTTTCCAACTCCTTGCTCTTTTAAAATGTGGACGCAGTCAATTTTCGGCATGAAATATCAGGTGGGTCCGAAATTTCTTGCCTTTTTTCAGACCTATTCTAAAAACGTTAACAAAATAAAGACAGACAAATTGTTTAAACAGTATCCGATGCAGAATTTCTTCCTCTTTCCAGCAGCTATGTTTTCGAAATGGCTGTATCGACGAACGCTGAAATAATTGTTGAAAACTAGAACTCTTCATTTCTGCCATGTCTAAGTTTCGCTAATTTTTGGAACTTTCATTTTAGGCTTCTGATGGTGCTTTAATAACCATCTGATAGGGCTTTTTAAAATAATGCAATTTTTTGCATGTTTCTGGCATGCGTTCTGGAATTACTGAAAATTTTTTTTTTGAACTGAACAAATTTTATATTTGGCTCATTCTAATTTCGCAAAACATCAGACATTGAACAGTTTAGGTACCATTCGGTGCATCGTTTTCTCCTTTTTCTGAAGGCTACCTTTTCTTCGCGAAATTTGCCACTTTTGCAGACATAGTTGCTGTACTTTCCAATTTTACGTGTGCGTGTAGTCGAAATTTTAGAATCTGTCCGATTTCACGCCGTAGAAGTTTTAGAACTTCAATATTCTGAGGAATTCGCAGTGTTTGGTGCAATCTTGTATCGCGCGACTTTTTCAAAATTTTATGCTCTAGATAATTCAGCAAAATTCTAAAGAGGAAGCTGAGAAAGAGCCAAAAATTGCGTTAATTCGAAAAAGGTTTGCTCTATCAGATGGTTATTAGAGCACTTTCAAAAGCCTAAAATGAAAGTTCTAAAAATTAGCGAAACTTGGACATGGTAAAAATCAAGGATTCTAGTTTTCAATTATCTCAGCGCCAGTCGAAGCAACTACAAAGTAAACATAGCTGCTGAAAGATAAAGTTTGCATCGGATACTCTTCTTCTTCTTCTTTATCTTCGCCATTGTCCCGCGGGTGCAGGGTCGGCGGTGGTGCATTTTTGCTTCCATTTGACTCGATCAGCTGCTTCTTGTGGTTTGAGCTTTGCAATGTGCAGGTCGTTTCGAATGGTGTCCAACCAGCGTTGCTTCGGACGGCCACGTGGTCTCTTCCCCTGTGGATCTAGACGAAGTGCTGTTTTTGCTACTGTATTATCTTCACTTCGTAAAACGTGACCATACCATCTTAATCTGGCACCTCGCATCTTATCCGCGATAGGTGCAACTCCGAAAATGTGTCGTACATCATCGTTCGTGACGCAGTTTCTTCTCGTTAGGCCCAGTATCCATCTTATCATTCGCGTCTCCATCGTGCTCAGGATCTGCTCGTGTTTTCTAGTTGCTGGCCAACATTCGGCTCCATACAGTGCGACTGGCCTCACCACATCCGATACACTTTCGACTTGAGATACAACGGAATTCGTCGGTCGCAGAGTACTCCTGTTACTTGCCGCCATTTCAGCCACGCCGCGTTCGTCCTAGCACGAGCATCAGTGATCGTGTCGCAATCTGACGTCACTCGGGAGCCCAGGTATTTGAATATCGTGACCTTCTTCAGCGGCTGCCCATCGATGCTAATTGTGCCATCGGTTTGCTCTCCGCATTCCAGGTACTCGGTCTTTGCTACGTTCAGTCGTAGGCCATACTCCGCTAATCGTGTCTTCCATCTCACAGTCGCCTCTTCAAGCTCTTGTCTCGATCCGCTTGCTAGCTCGACGTCGTCTGCGTAAAGGAGCGTCCACGGATGCGGCAGCTGGATGTCCTTGGTCACCGTGTCCATGCACAGTATAAAGATAAGCGGTGATAGAGCCGATCCTTGGTGTACTCCGACTTGGATTGGGAATGGCGTTGACGTTCCCACTGCACAGCGTATGGCGCCCGTCGTGTTCGTATAGAGGAGTTTGATCCAGCGAACGTACTCCTCTGGGACGTCGTGTTTCCTCAGCGCATACCAGATCAGCCCGTGCG